CATTCGTTTCATGGTTTAACGCGCTTTAAAACGCTTTTTATTAGTTAAGAGAAGAATTTGAAAGGCAAGCAAGATTATGAAAAGTGGATTAATACCTATCATCAATATGAATACCTAGAAATGGATACGACTAATTTTATTGAATCATGGCATAAGAAATTAAAATATACACATCTGGGGCTAGACAAAATCATAGAATTGACACCTTAATTTAAACTTTGCATGCTGCTTTGAAAGATACAGAGTTTGAGCATAAAGCTATTCATTTGATGATTGGAAGAATGAAGCCCTGGCAAAAAGAACAACAGTGGCATGAACTTGCTAATTCAGATTTAGAAATTCAACCTCTTCTAGACAATCTATATTATCATATAAAATCATCAAAAGATGATAATAACTATGAGGTTTATATAAAAGATCACATACAACAAAGTGATAACATTAAACCTGCATACCTTGAATATACTTGTTCTGATTTTAAGTTTCAAGAGATAGCATATAAACATGTTTTCACTATGTGTCAAAGGTTCTATTCAGTACTAATTGTGCATACTACCTTTGACCCAAAGGAAAAAGAACCTCAAAAAATTCCTGATACTAGATTTGAAGATTGGGTTAGTACAATTCAAAAAATTTGGAATCGCTATAACCAAGCAGATCGAAATCAAATAACTGGCACTAACTTGGAAACAATCGTGAATGTTGAGATAAGAAAAAAATTAAATATCTTCTTGTATAACCAATTTAAAATCCCTAAATCTGATGAAGATATAAGGTATGATTATATCAAGAAACAGAGACATAATAAATAGTGTTAAATATTTTGTCATAATTGTAATAACATCAGTATTAAATAAAATAACTTATCTTTATTAATTAATGTATTATTGGATATTTTTAAAGCTTCTAATAAATATATGCAATGTATGTTAATACGCAATAAAACTCAAACTAAAATACAATACTTCGAAACTAAAAATGTACCGTACCTGTGAATATATTATTGTAAAAAGCCCAATAAAAAGTTTAATCTCTTGTCGAACATGATAAAAAGCTACTATTAATTACGTACTATAACCTTTACTGACTTCCGGATCTACAAATTACTATTTCGAATCAGTGCATTCGTAGTAAAAGAACAAAATTTAAAAAGTATTCAGAAGTTTAAAGTCAAAACTATGCCATAGTAAGAAGAAATACTTAGAACGTACGCAGGTGGGTATCTACTTGATCTCTGATTACTTACTGTATTAACTTACGTTATCTCACGTTGATTTAGATTGTTAATCGACTTACCAAATTAGGAAGAGATCGTCGTACATTGCAAACCGGTTGGGGGCACATAGATGCACGCGGGTTCTCTCTTCGCATATTGGCCCATATGTCATATGAATGTCTTAACTATCTTTCAACTTCTGTATATCGAATATAACATACAGCATGTTGCTAATGTTCGTCTTTAGGCCACATAAATAGCGGTAAGAACCAATCACCCGTTATACTGTATGTAAATAAGGGGTCATTTCATTTTCATAATGATCCTTTTCTTGACATTCATTTCCTAGCAAAATCACTTCTTTACCATTATTACTTTACTAATATACGCTATTTATTTATTTCATATTTAAAATAATGCATTCAAATTTATAAATGTTTAATTCTATTCTGTTCGCGTTCATTTAGGGAGTATAAAACAATTTAGTATTCAGAATATGCTATTCAAGTATAAAATTTAGTAATCTAATTTTAAATAAGCTATTCGTTCATGATTACTTTTTTTTTTTATTTTTTAAGGTGATAATTACTATTTAATTCTGTAATTTATTTTGTTTGCATTAATGAAAATTTAGTAATCAAATTTTAAAATAAAAGATACATAAGTTTATATTTATTTGCATTAAATTAGGTATAGAGAAAATTCATTAAAATAAGCTATTCAGGCTTATGAATAATTAATTTTATTTACTTTATTCGCATTAGCTTCGTGTGGTGTTTTTAAATTGGCTGCATTACAACAATTAGGCCGGCAGCGAAGCGACGGGGTTACACCTAGTGTTAATGAACAATGAAAAACGGTATGCCACGTGATATACTGCTTTTCTGACCTGTGTTACTCGCTAATGTACGCTGCGCGGATCCAATTGCTGGCAAGTAATGAAAAAAGATTTAGGTTTGTCAGTTTAAAAAAATTGTTTTCAAACACATGAATATATTGAAGAACTTTCGTGTAATATGTTATAAACATTTATTTTATATTTGGAGCTGCTTTTATATTTCTTGTCAAGATTTATTAGTTGACAAGAACGCACATACTAAATATCAAACATGTCAGACAAGCATTCAAACGAAAAAAAATTTGATACCATTGATATTGTTATAACATTCTGTCAAACAAATCATTAATAATACAAAAATAACTTTTATTATATCAACCGAAAAATCATTCTAAAACAGCTGTAAATAATGTGCCAGCTTGAGCTAACTTACTTGAGCCGGCTTGGTTTAAAGGCCAAGCCGAGCTGGCTCAAGCCGACCCCATCCCTAGTCGTTTGGAACAATGTGAGCTACATAAAGAATTTTTTTGAGCTAGCATAAAAGATTATGAATCTACATGATATTTTATTTATTGAGTACTTACATCTTAAAGGGCATGCTACAGGAGCCTTATCTTCTACTATAACTTCATGCAGTTTGCGTTGAAAATAGTAGTTTATTTTTAGTTGCTTGCGTTCACCCATACATGGATCATAAAATCCAATGATATTCGACTGCAATATATAAAATATTATCTTACGATAAAGCCAAATTACCATTTAATTAATAAAAGGTTTACCTTAGAACGGCCTCCGGGAATAATTAATTGAGATTCAAATACCAGTGCCTGAATTGGTATTTTGACGTCAAAAACGTCGTCATAATGATTTTCTGTCGAAGCTTCTTTTATGTGTGAAAAATTGCCGTACCAAGCCTCTAAGATGATAAGACCATTATTCTTAGTCATTTCAGCTTCTATCTTACGTTCTACGGAAGGTCGCAAAAGTCGTATTGCTTCCTCGGCCTCACGCTTACGAGTAGAAATAAACTCTGCGTGACGTTCGCGAAGAATGGCTAATTTTCTAAATAAAACTCTCTTACGCGCTTGTTTCATAAAACATTAAAAATGAGTGTAAATGTTGTTGATTCATACTCAGCTGCTTTCTTCTTGCGTCTTGGTCCCAAAATAGTTTGTTCAATAGCAACAATTGTTATCACAGGCAACAAGGTCCCCCATAATACAATTTTGAGGTTATATTCCGATGATACATGAATTGGAACTGTGATCTTTTGCCCTAAACGAGATAGCCTGAGACAATAAAACACACCAAAAAAAAAAAAAAAGGGAAAAAAAGCAAAAAAACGCCAACATAGTTTTAATTTTTCTCCAATGCACTATTAACATCCTTAAACTACTTACAAGATTTCGAACAATTATAGATCACCTGCATCTAAAAGTGATCCCACTGGGAATTCCGAACTCAATAGCAATCGCCAACTTTGTATTTTCAGCAACTTTACGTTCACCAAGGAGTATTGCAGTCAGACCACTATTAATGAACGAAATTTTAAAAGTCAATACGGGTTTAATGAATAAATAGATATATGAATTATTTTCATACCTCGACGTTGATAAAGTAGTTACTGCTCTGATTTGATAAATATCAAGTAATTTACGATTGTAATTTGCAGAAATATATGACTGTGCTAAGCCAGTCTATGAAACCAATCAGAAGTTTAAACTTTGGCTGATATAGTAAAATGTAGATCTAACATAAACAGCCATCACATACCTGCATTTCTAAACCATATCCAGATTTTTCCATAGCTCTGTTGATCCCAATGGTTGCTGACGACCTTTCACGCCGAGAATAAGAGTCATTTTGGCCCCAAGGACCTAAAGACCATGTACCAGTTTTGTATGAAAGGTAACCAGATGTATTTTCACCGAGTCGCCGACCAGCCATAAAAGATAAGATTGGTGGAGAACTGATCACTTGAGATTGCGCAGTCACAGTAAAAAAACTATCATAAAAAAATAACAATAACAATAAATTTACAAACTTAGATATTAACCTTATCAAAACTAATGATATATTATCATAGCTACTAAAAATGTTTGGTACATACCCATCCGCGCCAAAAGTGTAATTGGCTTTTGCAGTCGTGATTCTTGGCTGAACTACAGACGATCCGACCTAATGCGACGAGTTCGGCCAGCTTTTTCAACAAACTTATAGAAAAGAATATTTACGAATAACTAACTGGGGTTATTTTCAACGTACTTCAGCCCAAAAGTATGGTGAAAATGTATGTCGTATGCTTCCAATAATATTCCCACCACCAACTCCATTTCTTAGAATAGTTTGACCAACAACGAAAGCTTGTGTTTGCGGTTTTAATTGAGTCTTAAAAAAAAAAAAAGATATATAAGCAAAATATTCTTGAACGCACACGATACCTTACAGAATGAAGAGTACTTTACTTCAAATGAATGCTTCATAAATAGTTGGGTGACCTCAATGTTTTCAAAAATCCTTGAAAGACCAGTTACATTTTGGCGTTGATAAGGCACACTATCGTACGGATCAAACAACTGAGTGGCATCAATACTCAGCTGAATATCACCCTAATAAATTAATAAGAAAACATCTAATTTATTCAAGAAAAGAAGAAACAATATATATAAATATAAATTGAAATAATAAATACTTTTGATTTCACCATGTTTTCCACTTCATGTTCTTTCTTTAATCTTGCTTGCCTTTCAAATTCTTCTCTTAACTAATAAAAAGCGTTTTAAAGCGCGTTAAACCATGAAACGAATG